CGCGGCGCCACGGCCAAACCGCCCCAAAACGCCCCGTCCTGCGGCTCAAATGGCTGTTCTGACCCCAAAAATGGCCTTTTCGGCCCCAAAATGCCCCTTCCTGCGGCTCCAATGGCTGTTCTGACCCCCAAAATGGCCTTTTCTGCCCCAAAATGCCCCTTCCTGTGACTCAAATGGCCATTCTGACTCTGAAAACACCATTTTCTAACCCCAAATGCCCTTTCCTGCAGCTTAAATGGCTGTTCTGACCCCGAAAGCAGCCTTTTCTGCCCCAAAATGCCCTGTCCTGCAGCTCAAACGGCCATTCTGACCACGAAAACACCCTTTTCTGCCCCAAAATGCACCTTCCTGCAGCTCAAACGCCTGTTCTGACCCCGAAAATGCCCTTTTCTGACCCCAAAATGCCCCGTCCCGCGGCACCAATGGCCATTTTGGCCACAAAAATGCCCTTTTCTGACCCCAAATGCCCTTTCCTGTGGCGCCAACAGCCGCTCAGACCCCGAAAACGCCCTTTTCTGCCCCAAAATGCCCTGTCCTATGGCTCAAACGGCCGTTCTGATCCTAAAAACGGCCTTTTCTGCCCAAAATGCCCCTTTCTGCAGGGCCGACAGCCGTTCTGGCCACAAAAATGGCCTTTCCTGTCCCAAAACACCCTTTCTTGCGGCTCAAACAGCCGTTCTGRCCCCGAAAATGGCCTTTTCTGCTCTAAAATGCCCTGTCTTTTGTCTCAAGTGGCCATTTTGACCCCGAAAACACCCTTTCCTGCCCCAGAACGTCATATCTTGCAGCACCAATGGCTGTTTTAGCCACAAAAACAACCTTTCCTGCCCCAAAATGCCCCTTCCTGTGGCACAAATGACCATTCTGACCCCGAAAACACCCTTTTCTGCCCTGAAATGCCCTGTCCTGCAGCTCAAACGGCCATTCTGACCCCCAAAACGCCCTTTTCTGCCCCAAAACACCCTTTCCTGCAGATCAAACAGCCGTTCTGACCCCAAAATCAGCCTTTTCTTGCCCCCAAACACCCTCTCCTGCCCCC